TTAGGATTAATCTCTGTATCACTAGGTAGAGTGCCTTGAGGTCGGTTGTTAATGGCATGAGCAAGCTGACCCATTTGGTTTTCCAAGTTTCAGATTGATACTTCCATACTGTTCATCCTTGTCTCAGTCTGTGATATGTACTTGGAAAATAACTCCTCCAAATTCGACTTCTTTTCTTGCTGTGGTAGAGCTTGATTCTGAAAGCCTGGTGAGTATGATTGTCTTGGAGTAGAAGGTTGGGCTTGAATATTACTCCATGAAAAACCCGGATGATTCCTCCAACCAGGGTTATAGTTGTTGGAATTATTGCTATATTGTTGCCTGTTGTGGTTACCAATGAATTGTACCAACTCCGGATTGATTGTGAATTGATCACTCGGATGGTTCCCAGCACACAATTCACAAGTGACTGCCACACTTTGAATAGGTTGCACCCTTAACGCATCAATCTTCTTTGTCAATGTAGCAACCTGTGCAACTAATGCAATAATTGCATCCACTTCATAAATCCCTGCTACTTTTGACTGATTGATCCTTGTAGAGGGCCACTGATAATTGTTAGCAGCCATCGTCTCCAACAACTCGTAAGTTTCATCAAAAAATTTTCCCATTGATGCCCTACCTGCAGTTGCATCGATACCAGTTTGGGTATCACTAAACAACCCATTGTAGAATGTCTGAACTTGCAACCACTTAGGAATACCATGGTGAGGACATTTTCGTAGTAAATCTTTGAATCGCTCCCAAGCTTCATAAAGAGTCTCAGAATCATGTTGTGTGAATGATGTGATGTCGTTCCTCATCCTTGCAGTTTTAGCTGGTGGAAAAAATTTAGCTAAAAATTTTTGAGCTAAATCTGTCCACGTAGTAATAGAACCCGACAGTAATGAATGCAACCAACTCTTCGCCTTATCACGAAGTGTGAAAGGAAAAAGTCAGAGTGTAATTGCATCTTCGAAAATCCCATTGTATTTGAACGTGTCGCAAATTTTCAGAAAACTCACCAAATGATCATTTGGGTCGTCGTTAGGCAAATCCCCAAACTGCACTGAATTTTGAATCATTTGGATGGTACCTGGGTTGATTTCAAAACTGTTTGCTTGAATTGTGGGCCTTTGAATGCTCGATTGTATTTGTGTAACAAGCGGCATAGCATAATCTCTTAACGATTTCTGTTCATCTTCAGCCATAGCTTTTTGGTTATGTACTTCTTGATGCTATTTTCGCAAGTTTCGGCACCTTCTCTTGATTTTGGCTTCGTACAGTAGTAGCTCCTGACCTTTAAATCGTGTTAGCATACAAAATTCAAGAGTACTTGTGAAAACAATTAAACAGAAAATAAATAAGTTTAAACTAAGATCAAATTGATTGAAATTAATATTTGAAATAATTACTAGAATAAGTCCCCGGCAACGGCGCCAAAAACTTGTTGTCCGAATTTGATATTGACAATTTGCGTGCAAGTATACACGATCAACAAGTAATAAAGTGATAAATAGAGTATCGTTCCTACGGAGAATTATTGCTAACAAATTCTAAGTACTAACTTTATATCAATTCAATTTTATTTAAACAATTGGAATTGAACAATGAATTTACTAATTTAAAACTAAATCTAAACTTAATAATCAAGGGTTGAATTTACTAGAGAAAAAAAGTTAAGATTACAACTTCCCCTAATGCTTCGTATAAATCTTTCTAACTCTCTTTCTAATTAATTGATTAAAATAAGTTGTTAACTGAGAATTCAAAGTTATTTATCAAACCTCTTCCGATAGTTAGATAAAATTATCTCTCCCAATTAAATTACTATATTCCTATGCAAAATAAGTTGGAATAGATTCATTAAGTTTAAACTCTCATAAGAGTTACACACGGCATATATGTGTATTCCTATCCTATACACAAACCCAGCAATTCAATTCTAAGAAGAATTAACCAGATGCATGTCATCATATTCCGATCTAAACCTAGAATTCATCTTCCAATTTCATCTAGGTTATCAAATTAATTATTGGCCATACAATCATATATTAAACACAAAATATGACAAACAACTCATACATGATCAATAAAACTAGAAACGAGAGTAGATTAATTTAACTAGACATAGGTTCCGTTGCAATCTTAATAAGAATTTAGTTCATAATGTAATTGAAAAATATCATTCTAAAATTAAACAACATCTTAGAAAATCAAGAAATAAAAGTAAGAGGAAAGAATGAAAATTTAGGTGCAATCTTCAATCCTTCGCTAGCCTTCAAGACCAATCTTCTTCGTGTCGATTCCTTCGATTCTTGTCTTCAATTTTCTTTTAATTTCTTGGTTCTTTCAGATGTTTTCAGCCCCCAAAAGTCAGAATACATCATCCCCACACAAACCCTAGCACATATGTAGCTTTAGAGTCCAATTTCAGTTTAAAAATAAGTCAAAATTCTCGTCACTAGCCAACACAAGCGCGGGGGCTCCAGAAATCAGTGCAGGGGCACCATAGGGACAGTAGGTTGGCGTAGGGGCACCAGTTTTGGAGCAGGGGCGCGCCCCCCTCTAGAGGCCTAAAATGCCCTTTAATGTCCTCTTCCAAAAATTCACCCTTTTGGCTCCAAATTGACATTGTTTCTTCCCAATTGATCATGATTCATTCCAAATGATCATCCCTACAAAATAATATCAAAACACACAAAAAAAATTGAACATAAAATAATTGAAAACTTGAAATTTCATTAAGCCGAAAGTACTTAATTCGTAAGTATAAAACCCACTCATCAACTTGTTCCAGCGATAGGTGGATTGAGACTCATGCAAATGATCGTGGTGGTGGTAGTCACTTTAACGAGGCGGGCGTTTAACTCGATTAGCAAGTTTTTTGCCCTTTTAAAGAAGGAGCCCTTATTTGAGAGCTTCTAGCTCCTCCGTCTTCTTTCTTATTGCCTCCTGATAAGCCACCTTGGTAGCTAGTTGGCCTTTTGCATCAAGAGATGGTAGGTTGTGATAGGGAGGATATTGCTCTTTCGGGCGCTTCTGTTTATCCCGAAGTAGCATTTCGTCAGGAACTTGGAGGTCATAGGTTAAGGGATTCTCAAGGATTACGAGTAGTGTAAGTGCCATGCGGCTAGTTGAAGGTTCATTGGTTCTCTCGCCAGACATGGTTCAAAGCTTTTAGTTTGCCAAAAAACTTAGTCGTGTTTCCTAGAGACAACACCAATTGTGCGGGGAGAATTTTGCACAAGGAGTCACCATCGTGTACGGATGGAGATGGTTGTATGGAAACTTTGAGTAACCTACAAGAAAATAGAACACATAGGTGAAATGATGGTTGGAGATGCTAAAGTCAAAAAGCGAGTCAAAGATAGTATATAGTGAATAGACTCAGATTAAATGCCTTACCTAGTACCCGAGAGCTTTTATTTATAGTGGTAGGAAATTGTGTTTCAAAAGAACCCGAACTCTAGGTTGTAATAGGATTGAACTCATCACTAGCTCCTAAGAGTTTGGGGTCGAGTTAGGCTAGGACTCTTGTTCCTAAGTCCCTTATCACCAACTCCGAAATATTCATGTTAAAGTTAAACTTAGACTCTAGGGCTCTGATTAGATTGATCCTAGCTGAATAGGAGTCCTCCAGCAATGGTGGGTGAGATAGTTTGTAGCAGGTCACTTGGAAGTAAAGTGGCTGTCCCATAGTGACTTTGGGTAACCAGTGCAGCTCGAGCATGGACTTCTCGCAAACAAGTGCCTACCTACAAGGACCTGCCCATACGAATGCCTACCGATAGGCACTTGCCCAAGAGGCTGCCGATCGGTAGAGACATGCCCAAGCTCATGCCTACTGGTGTGGGTTCCCTTATGCTTCGCATATACATAAGGAATCCCACAGTTATTTGGACGAATCTAATAGAAAGTCAGTATACTTAACCCTTTAGGGTGTGTTTGGGTAACGTGGTTGGATAGGATAAAATTTCTCTTTTTATATCCTAACCCATCCAAGCCAAATCCACTCATCCACTTTAAAACTCTAACCCAAGGTTATATCCAATCCTAACATTTGTTTGGGAAACAAATGTGTAATTTAGTGGGCCCTATAGATTTCACAAATAATCTTTTAGTAGTTTACCATTCTACCCATGACTCTATTCATTCCAATCCAAACTAAAACAATTCTATCCTATGTTTGGTTAACTCATCCAAGCCTAATAAAATTATACATTTTCCACATATACATAAAAACATATAAAAATAAGGAAAGTTAAATATATATTTTTTTTCCAAACAAATCAACACTTTATTTCATTTCTTAAAAATTGATTACAATGGGAGAAAGACAAACAACCTTGACTTAAAACAATATGATAAAGCAACCAAAACAATGAAAATATAAAAGTAGTCTCCAAGACTTGACTTGGAAAAAAAACCAATGCAACAACAAATGCTTGATTACAAAACCTATTTTTAACATACATTAATACATAATAACATAATATTTTATTAATTTTTTTTCAAACAAATCCACATTTTATTTCATTTGCCAAAAAAATACAAGAAGCAAACCCCATTTATCAGTCATGGAAAAATACAAAGAATCAAAGAATTACAATCTTCTTCCTAAATGTCTTAACCCCTTGCTGATCCTGTAACATTAGCAACTTTACCTGCAATGGAATGACCAAGTCCAGGGAAAAAATTAGCAGACCAAATCTGCTTGACAACATAATTTGCCAAAAAATCAGCCAAGCAGTTTGCCTCCCGATACACATGAACCAAACTGAACTGCAACCTTCCCAGAATCTCATCAATCTACCTTAGAATTTTCCAAAATTTTCATGACCTTTGATGCGCTTTCAAGACCATGTGCACCAAGACCTTTTTTTTTTTGGAAAAAAAAAAAAAATTATTTATGAAAAGAATCAATTACAAGAATCAAAGAACAAACTGTTCTGAAAAAATACAAGAAATGACTTAAAACCATTTTACACTATATTCTTGCATCTTAGTCTTGTCACAGTTCAGCTCTTGGCACTTTGATCAATCACTACCTTCCTCGGCCTTGCAGTAGGCATCCCAACCTGATCCTGTTGCAGAAGCAGCTTGCCAGACAATGGCAGAATGTCATTTGTTGAAAAATCAGTATCTGCTTTAGTTTGGACTGCAAATGAGGCAAGAAAATCAGCAAACACATTGGCCTCCCTGTATATATGCCTCAACTGATATTGCAATCTACCAAGCAGCTTCCAAATCTGCTTCATAATGCTTTTCAGTCTCCAAGGAACCACTGTCTTCCCCAAAACCATTGAACTAATACTTGAGAATCAGATTCAATCAAATACAACCTTGAGCACATATTAAGAACATGGCAAACAAATGAAAAGGAAACCATAAAATCTTTGGCAGTCTAAACAATAATTTTACTTTGAACTATCCAATGATTGCAAGAAAAATCAGCAATAATTGCACAATAAACTTCCAATTTTCTTATGATTGTCAATAGGAAACTGAGAGAGATTCCAAGACTGTTCCCAACAATTCAAACTCTTCCCCAATGGGAAATTAGACCAACCATTTTTACTAACAACCAATTATAAAACAAAAGGTACAAGAACAAATTTTGCACTTAATGCCACCCACAACAAAATTAAACCCACAAACCCAACATAATACATAAACCTACACTAAAAACATACAACAATACTAGAGTGATCAAACAGCTCTGCCTCTATCAAATGATATAAGAACTAATGAAATAAGTCATTGGCTATCAGGTTCACTTGGGCGAGTTTTCCCAAGTACATACACCCCGAGTTTTTGTTACTTGACAAAGGACGAGGTCAATCATCATCAATAACTATGACATCATCTTCCCTCCTCCTTGAATTTACTAATGGGCATGATCCAACACTGCTATCAATGTGTTGTTGACCTAAGGTTGGTACATCGTTCTTGGAAATAATTTCCAACATTGAAAAGTTTGGACAAGGACCCAAACAATAGTTACAAGCAAAACCATCATCATGTAATAAATGTGTCAAGTTAAAATATAGAACCATAAAATTACCAACATATATGGGTAATAAATCAATTTGTATCGACACGAATGTGAAAAAAATTAATTAGAATCATGTACTTGAATGAAATCCAAACCACCAGACTCTGGGCCTTCAACAACACACGTAGTCTGCGTGTCACAAACAAACATGCCATTTTTAACATCTCAATAATGCTTTTATATTGGCGCTCCCAGAAAAGGATTAGCCTCAACATATCATTCATAGACAGATGAAACCTAGGCATCCTTCGTCGCGTCTGTTTAAAAAGTGCATCAATTAGTCTTTTTGAATACATGCCTGCTACAGGTAATTTTTTGTGATTCTTAAAGTCAAGTCAAGCATGACATCAACTTCATCCTCAGTAACTTTGGGTAGCTTCATTGTGAACTAAAACCTCAACAATTACAAAAATAAAATATATTTTCAAGTCATCATCAATAACCATACATAAGTAAGAAATAGCCATGTGGATAGTCCAACATAAAAGTTCTTAAACAAGTTACAAAGTCATGCAAAAGTCTTCACAAACCTATGTATTATCAACATACACAATTAATCATCATCTACCCAAGAAGGAGTAAAACATCTAATTAATAAGTCAAAGATCTAACTAATAAGTCAAACATCCACATAATACCTAAGTTGCTAAAGTTAATGTGACACATGGGTCAACCAAAATTTAGTTCACAAGTAGGGCACAAATAGCTTTACATACGACCTTGATAAAAATCTAAATCAAGCCACAGTATGCTACCAACCCAAAGTGTTCGCTCTTCCACGGACAAGCTAAAGAAAATGTCAACTTTTATGTTATCTGAAGCAATTTTCTATGTTGCCTCGTGTCGGTGTGCCATTTTGAGGCCATCAATTTTTGACAACTCTGCTAGGATGGCATGTCTACTTGTAGATGCATCTTGCTCGTAGCCTACTCTATGTGCAATGCTTGCTAGTTGGTTCTCGCTTGAAACAACATAATCACCAAATACCCTAAATATCTAGGAAAGACTTGTAGCCATTGAATCGCTTATATCACTAGATTTTCTTTTTTTTGTCTTACGTGTCTGTGGGGTGACATTCACACCCTCCCTGCCCTGAGTTACATTTTGCAAGTGGTTAACATCATCCGTTCTCCCAGTTGGATGGGCCTTTACATTGGTATCCTCAGGGACATCCCCAGCAGTTGAACTGTCTTCGATCATTTCCACTAGTCCTTGTGTAAACTCACCTATTGCCCTATCTTTCCAAAATATAAGGACCCAATTGACTTGATCCGAAATGTTTACACTCAAGCGCAAACGGTCAAGCTGTAGTAATAATCCGGTTAAATCCGGAGTCAAATCCACAGGGAACTAATGTTGGTGTTTTGAAGTAAGTAGTGACAGAGATCAAAGTGACTGGAACCCTTGAGATTTAAAGTTGTGATGCTTATGAATTTTCTTGGACGGAATATAAAATTTTTTCCAAGAGGATTTTCTAGACAAAATATGATATAATTTCAAATGTAAAAGTCACCCTTTAGCTCGAGGATCTGGACATGTAGTAAATTATCTGGTTGTTATACATATGCTTAGGAACTCAATTTACTCTTGTGTCAACATAAAGTTAATCAGAGGACAAAAATGGATAGTGAGAATTAAGAGCATGGTTTCGATGTCTTTGTAGAGATTTACAAGAATTGTCTGTGCCCAGACTCAACTTGTCTACAAACAAGCAAGTGTTTCTACAAGGCATCCAACCATGGTGTTGGTATTCTATTCTTAGTTGAACCACAATAATGGTGAAGATTGAAAAGTAATTATGAAGATTTAGTTGGAGTACTTGCAAAGGACCAATGAGTCTTCTCGTGCCAAGAGTCATCTATGTTATAGAAATGACTCATTGGTTGTACACAGTACCTTAGTTTTGCTAGATGTAATCAATCATTCAATAAGCAAGTAAGAGATAAAATATTAAGCATAAATAAAATGCACAAATAAAACTTTCGAACGATTTATACATGTCCATCACCTCTTACTAAAGAGTGAATTAGAAAATACTCACTCTTCATGACTTTGGTAAAGCTAAAAAAGTGAGTGATTCTCATCTCTACAAGCAGAGGAGTTACAAGGAAAACACAATACACAAGGAGCCAATCTTCGACGAAGAATAAGTGAATCACGTTCTGCCCTTTATGACTTTGGTAAAGCTCTAGGAAAGTGAAAAAGTTTCACTCCTCTGAGGGAAGAAAGAAGCTCAAACAATGGAAGCAAATGAAACTAATAATGAAAGTAGAAAAAAGCTAGTCACTTTTGGAGGGTTTCCCCCTTAACCAAAGATGATCTATAATTCCTAAGTTCTCCTTCTTTGAAGCTCCCACAATATGAGTATTTATAGGCAAGGAGGAGGGGGCAAGGAAGTATGAAAGAATAGTACAAGGTCTTCAAAGTCCAAGTAAATGCCCCAACTTCCGGATAGAAAATCAACCACTCTGCAACTTGTCTGGGGACAACATTCGAACATTAGATGGCGTTCAAACGTTGTCTCCTATCTTCCTTGATGGGCGTTCGAACGCTGGATGGAGTTTGAACTTCCTACTCAAGTGGCCTTTGTTCTTCTGTGAGAGTAACTGCAATACGCCATATGCCATTGTCCTAGCACTCAGTAGTCTGGTCCTCAAATGATTTAAGTCAACGTTCGAATGTGGATTGCCGTTCGAATGTGGTACTTAAGTACCTCTTTGTTTTTCTTCTTAGGGAATAGCTGCAGCATGTCATGTAACATCACCTTAGCAATCTGGTCCTCAAATAATTCAAGAGGACATTCGAACATGGATTGACGTTCGAATGTTCATGCCTTGTTTCAAACTTCTCCAATTTTATTCCAGCACATGTGAGTGTTGCATGAAAGTTTGGTATCCATTGACTTTAGGCCCTTGTACAATCTTTCTCCTCAAATACCATCATTAAAACTCTATCAACGTATAATTAGTCTTAAAAAGGTATAGTAAGTTGCTAATTTAAACTACTAATCACATCCTCCAACCTAAATATTGCTAGTCTCTAGTAATATGACAACAATTGAATGAGAAATTATTTACAATGCCATTTTTGTAGGTCATCCGATTGCATTTAGCATATGCAACAAACTGTTAAACCCCTAGGCTTCCCTTAATGGACGAATGTTGTCTTGTGAGGATTTTCAGTGAAAATATCCACAAACTTCAGTCGAACAGATGTGTGTGTGTGAGATTGCTTGTCAAAGTGAGTTAGCACCATGATCGTTGAGACACCCAACCCTTAATTTCGACTTATCTCCCATACATTTCTCTTTTATAGGTACGTATTCTATGCAAAAATAAACATTTGTTACATTGGTATTTGAAATTCTCTATGTAGTAGGAATAATCATTCTAGCGACATGAATTGTTATATAACAAACACTCCTCTTTACAACCTTCCACAGATAGCTTTGATTTCACAAACCTCTCTTAGAATGATCTTAGCAAAAATTTTCTTCGATTATAGTGACTTTTCTCTCAAAGTGCATGTGATTAGAAAGATGGATAATTGTAAAATCACATGCATGATTAGTATAGGAGTGAAATCTAAGGAAATTGACTATTCTTGTTTGGCATAATATCATATAAGAATATTGATACAAATAAAGTAATACTATTAACATACCCCAGACTTTTGATTGACGACCTATATATGCATCAGGCTTGAGATCAATTAGGGCTTTTTATAGGTTGTAATATGGCCAAGGGTCAGTAGTTAATGAAATGACGTCATTGGTATTCAAAAGTTATCTTGTCCTTATGTAATGTAGCACACATCTTTCTAGCTTTTAGAAACTTCAACTACATGGCATTGCTTTTTTTCATTCTTTTTCTCATCTTTCACTTTCTTGGCCATTTTTTGTCTTCCTGTCTCTTTCTTTTTAAGTTGTTTCCATAGATTTTTCTTTCTTCGAATAGTAGCCACCATCTTCTTTTCTATTTCTCTTGCTTTTTTGTATCATATTGATTTATAAGAGGGTCCAAGAAAATTAGATAGCAAATGTATGTCAAATTTATATCTCCGTGGCTTGGTTATCATGTGGGTTATATGAAAAAGAATTCATACTTTTAAAAGCTCAATCCTGGCTGAGTAGGGATATAATTTTGTAAAAGAAATGACTAAGGCTCAAAATTAAATCAAAGATGGCCTAAGATCTTTCTCAAGCATGTGCACATGTATGTGTCGTATAAACGGATTCTTTGTGGGATATATCAATAGACTACTCTATTTGCATCAATCAATAACAATTTTAATGAGACTATTCAAGGATAGAAAGTGAAAAACCTTTACTTGAGTAAATGTTGATTTTCTCTCAAAAGTATTGCAAGGCTCGAAAACTTACTGTGGTATTCTTAATTATCTCAACTGGTTATGTCAGATTTTCAAAGAATGTCGGTTATATATCAATTATATTTTTGAGTCTGGTCATCTTGTACCTTAAGAATAACAAATATCAATGTATATTTGACATTTAGGCATAGAGAAAATACCATTTTTCATAGACATGTGGTTTTAAGTCTAGATTGCTAAGTGAGGTGTTAAACCGATCATGTGCTTTAGTCATTTTAGCAAACAATCTCAATATTCACATATGTTTCATCAATTATTAACAGATACCAATGTAATGCTACGGCTAATACATGCATTTAAAAGATAAATATACAAAAACTAATTCATCCATTTCACAAAATATCATCATTTAGCACAAACAAGATTCAAATCATCCAAAAACAATCAATCTCTCTCTCACTCTCTTGTCTCTCCAGCTCTTGAAGATCCTCCAGCTCCATCCCTCAAAAGGCTGAGAATCTCCTCCTGATGTCCGAGAATCTCATTTTGCTTGGCCTCGATGCTAAACATGATATCCCGTAGTGACCATCGGGTGCTGGTGCTGGTACCTGCCTCTTTTTGTGCCTGGGGCTGTGCCTCTGCCTTAAGCTCCCTCTCCTCCACGTCATCTAAGGCATCCTGCACCTCATCGGTGCCTCGAGCTGGTGGCTCATTTTGTCTCGCCGCTAAGCCACCATTGTGACCTTGGCTCCTTCGAAAGGATGCCTTGTTCAATGGTCCCATCACCTTCTACTCCCCCATCTGCGGCCTAACTTGGACTCCATAGTCCAAGCACATCTCCATCACGAGTGTACCGAAGGGGAGTGAATTTTGCTTCACATCACACCCCTTCATCATCTCCGTCAAGATTAAAGACAGGAGGTCTGTGCTTTGGCCCCTTCCTATTGCGTATAGCAATTGGGTCATCTCCGGGAATATCTCATTCTTCTGTCCGATGGGGGCAAGGTTGGAGACGACTATCAAGTTTAACATCTTGTACTTATCCGTCAATTCACCTTTGTTGAAAAATCTCTGTCGTCCCCAAGGAAACGTAGCCAAGCCTTTCAATTCCACAACCACAACATCCATCTCAACATTCTTCCTTGGGGGATGGTTTGGCCTTTGTACCCGTGGTACTGCCCGTATCTCCATAATATAAGCCACTTCGACATTGATGTGGGATCCCCTCACATGTCTTTATCGCCCCATTGAAAATTTCGATGTTGGAGGGTTCTATCGTATCTTCGACCTATGGGTGGGCTTCCCTCTTGTTCCTCGATCACTTCCTCCACAAAATTTGGCTCTTGGTTGGCCGTCTTGCGCCTTGCGGGCATTTTCATCCTTGGAGGCATGACTTTTAATTTTGGGGGTTTTAGGGCTTGAAAAGTTTGGATTTCTTGTGAGAAAGTAAAGAAATGAGGTGGGAATGTGTTTGGGATGCTTGATTTTGGGTAAAAATTGAAAATGGATGAGGTTTTGAGGGTTGGGAAATGAACAATCACCGAGGTTTTGGGGGTTTTTAGGGTTTTTGGGTGGTTTTGAAATGAAGAAGATGAACCAGGTATTTATAGGTAGGTTGACAATGTTCAAACATCACTCACGTTTGAATGTGTGTAGAAGGATTTTTAGTAGGACATTTGAATGTTACCCAGGCATTCGAATGTTTGGAGCTCCCAGTATTTTTGATGTCCTACAGAGACCAAAGTACTATAAGCTCCCCACGTTCGAATGTGGGTTTGGTGTTCGAACGTTAGGTCCTAGTTCAAACATTACACAGGCGTTCGAACGTTTGGTGCTCCCAGTACTTTTGATGTCCTGCAAAGGCCAAAGAA